CTTTTTAAGATATGTTTTTCAGCCTAAAGTAGTTCAATATAAATATCGTTTTCAATGTCCAGATTCATCTAAATATGAGCCAGATCGTTATGAATTAAAACTTGAAAGTTTAGAATCATTTCCATGGAATATTGTTGATAATGCTGTATGCAGTCATGGAATGGGCGATCATATACATTCTGATGTATGTATCATGAGATAAAATATGATTTAGCACAAAAAAGAAAATGTTTCATTGACAAGATTCCAATCAAATGAATGTCTAAATGATTTCTGAAAAGAAAAAATATTAGAGAGTAAATAAGTCTAACGAGAGAGAATTCTCAATTGTTCAATTTCTTTTATCGTTTGACACTATTTTTATGATGAGTAGTAAATAAGTCTATTTTGGTTCGGTTTTTCGATCTTCTTATATTGAATTAGAAACATTTTTATGAAGTTGCGGGTCCAAAGTGTAATTTCCCTAGGATCCTACAATATTTTTTTGGCTTGATATTGTTTGCATAAATACAACTGAAATTATTCTATACAGCCGAAGTGTTTGGTGTTGCTGGTGGTTTGATGATTTCTAATGACGAATTTCGTTTATGAATTAATTGTTCAATTTCCTTGTTCTTTAGTTAATGAGCAACAAGAAATGATTATATATTGATTGTTTTTGTGGCCAATAAATAGCTAAAATACGATTCTTGACTTATTCATGTACACAGCAGGTGCCAGATGTTGATGAACAAAGACTCGGATCTAGATTCACAAAAACGTGGACTTTCAGCTTCTCCGTAGGCGTTTTACTTGATTTTTGGTCTATGAGTATCGAATTGATGGCGACCTGAATGAAAGAATTTCGAGCTGAAATATGGTTCATGGAGAGACCTTATAGTCATTAGAAACTTTCCAAACTTTGAGTGAGAATGAAACACATCCTAATTGAGATGCTCATCTCTTAAGCGCCTGTTTTGAACTTTGTTTCAAAACAAGAACGTTTTTATTACAAACTGATATCTACATAAGGATGTGTTCATTCTGAATCTAACTATGAGAAGTTTCTAATGACTATCAGATCTTTCTATGTATTAAATTTTAGCTCAAAATTGGTTCGTTCAAGTGTTTAGTGATCTAATACTTATCGATTAAAGATCAAGTAAAACACTCCTAACTCAACAAGAAAAAACCAAATCGAAACAGACATTTTTTTTTACTATTCATCATGACCGATCGGATAACAATAATCTCAAACGAGAAGCAATTGAACAGTTGAGAACGTGCCCTCTTAAGTAAACCAATAAGGGATCTTAAATAATACAAATTTACAGTTTAATAACAATAATATGCTTAAATTAAATTTTTATTCTTATCATAATAATTGAGTATATTTAGACAATGAAATTTTGGCGCACTCGTCTTGTAGTTATGCCTGTCGCAAGAGATTATACAATAAAAAGTATTGAATCCGGTCAAAGAAGATGTGATAGTCGTCAAGAAATGTCCCATGAAGATTTTTTTCTTTATGTTGAACATTTCATTCGATTTTTACTTATGCTTAATAAATTAACACGTACACGTGCTGGATCAAATGATGTTCTTCATCGAGTAAGTTTCATATAAATAATATTTGTAAAGTTTGTTTTTTGTTTTCTATCGATCTATTTTAGCCTCTTGATCCAGTAACTGGCTTGAAACGACTTGATTGTCATAAACGACAAGGAAAACATTCGTATGTATTTTAATTCTATTATTTTATTGAATATTTTTTTGTTATTCATTTTAAGAGTACCATGTAAAACATTTAAACTTGATGGTATTATGTCTGGAGATTCGAATGCAATAAATAATCTTTTAACTTTATGCCGTGATGAACAACAAGGTTTATCATTTATTAAAGATGCAGTTTTACCTGAGAATTCATTTATTGCCGTTGAAGCTGTATGGTGGTCTATTGAACATTGTGATGATATACAAAATGAACAAACAGGTTTATCATTATTTCAAGTAAACAAATAAACAAAAAAGTTTACAATAAAAAAAAAAAAAAAAATAAATTTTATATTTTCTTTTTAGACATTATTTGAACGTGGATACATTCGACATTGTACACATTCAGAAAATTTATTTCGTTTTGGTTTTTTTATTTATTATATTGTTACAGATAAAACACAAAATTGTAAATTTTTGTTTTTTTAAATTAATTTGAATTTATGAAAAATTTTTTAGTTCATCTTGATTCAAATGATTATGCTGAAGTTGAATTTCATCAAACTCAACATTTTATTCCATCAATGGATTATTTAGGTTTTGGTGAACGTAAACCAATGCGTTTATTACCAAAATTAATTGTTAATCAACAATCAATACCACGACCTATTCGATTAGCAACATCACTTGCAGCTGCAAATACAAATTCAACTAATGTGAATAATACTGCAGAAGATCCAACATTAACAAATCAAGAGATAACATCAACAATATTAAAACGTACTTGTCATGTTGATGCTGATCAAAAACATATATCAGATAGACGTGAATGGGCAACAGCACAACATCATGCATATTATAATCCACATTGTTTATTTGAAATTGAAATTCGTTGGCTTGTTGTTACTTCGTGTATACTTGGTGATTTAATTACAAATTGGTCACAACGTACAGGAACAATACTTGGTTCAAATCAAGTTGCATTTCATCTTATTCCTATTCCATGTGATCCATTTGCTGAATTTGATCCATTACGAGGTATTAACAAAAATTATGCTTTATAGAGATTGATTCCTATGTTGTACGTGTGTTCGTACTACCACTGGTATACTAGGAGTAGATCGCTAGTCGTAGAACAATTATCAGTTTAACGTAATAAAGTGCTGGTTAAAATATAACTGACTGTTTATATAATCAAACGAACGACAATTAATAATCACTATACCGATTTATCGATAAATTCTATAATTAGATTATATCTAAAGAATTTATTCAACTTTTTAATTTATTGATGATAAAATGTGTTTTTTTAGGTCCTATTTATATCAAAATGGATTCATCATGTCTACGTGATAAAATTGTTGATCTTTCAGAAAAAGATCAAAATCTTCGATTAAACATATTTCAAGAACTCATTTTAAAACGGTTTGTATATATTTTATTGATTAAATCAATAAAAATATATTCAAATATTCTTTTGTTTTTACTACAGTTATGGCTTTATTTTAAATGCTTGTGTAAGTTATAAAGATGAAAACATATTTTATGTTCATCTTAGTGGTGGTATGCTTGTTTATATTATATCTGATGTATATAATGTACATCGTAATCGTCAATCAATACATGTTGCATCCAAAGAAGATACTGATAGTCAATTATCACAACTTGATTGTGGTTTTTATTGGTGTTGGAATTTTTGCCTAGGTAAAAAATGGCGAAGTTCTCAAACCGGTGAAGAAAAATATCAGGATATTATGCTAGCTGATTTTCGTGCTTTTTGTGCTAACGATAAAAATCGTTTAATCAATTATTGGAATGAAGTTAATGAAATTGCAAATGAAAAAATGGCTGAAAATCAACAGAAATAAGGACAATATGATGATAATCAAGATAATATAAGTTCCACCTCGAACAACGTTTTATCCGATTCTTTTTTCAAACATATTTCGTGTTTATGTACATGCTCAATGACAGTGATTGTTGTTTGTATATTATTTTTCTTGAACTTTTGCGGTGGAGAATAGGATTCAACGATAAATGTATCATATATACATATATAAATAAACATGATTTAATCTAAACATTTCATCAATGGTAGGGAACAAATGGTAATCGAAGTAGATCATTCAAAGTTCATCCATCACTTCGAAAAAAACAATTTTCAACAGAAAAATCACTATTGAGATAAATGCATTGAAAGGTAGCCCGCGATCTGATCTTTCGCAAACGACATGAGTTTTTTTCCGTAAAAATCTTTGACAATTTCTGTCATTATCTGCTTGAAAAATATGCTGTTTTCAGACAATGTGGGAATTAATTTTCATATTTTCTTGGTTTATACTTGTTTGATTGTGCATCTCTAAATTCTCGAAGAAGATTCATCGTAAGCTATTGCTTTTAGCTTTGTTTGAAAGAGCATGAGAACCTGTAGTGGCTAATAGAAATAAGTACTTCTATAAATAGTTGAACATTTTTCGAGGTATTGAACTTATCATCGTTTTACTCCTTATAAAGGAAAAAACTTTAAAAAGAGGATTCTGTCAGACGCTGCAGTTTGATAAACTCTTTCAAATAAGAAACAACCCAAGTCTATAGAATGAGTACATCTTTTGAGAAACTTGATCATGAACATGATACTATTAGTATTACTGCTACAGTACATTCTTATAACATATATATCGATCCTCTTTATTCTCTTTTCTTTGACTTTGATTAACCTTGGCATCTATTTTTTAAATTGTTTTCCTCGTTTTCATATTCATATATAAATCCTCGTTTTTCAAAGAATAGACAGAGAAGAAAGAAAATGCGCACGTCTTTAACTGTGCTCGTTGCTCTTTATGAGCGTGAACAATAACTGTTACCAATGAAAATTTTTCTCGTGACTGTGACCGTGGTCATGACGAAAAACACCGATCACGCAGTCTCCTAGAAGAGACAAATTGTATTATGATAAAAACATTTGCTTTCTTTCATGTGTTGATTTTTTTTCTTTTCTGTCGAGGTGTTGCCTTTAATGTCAGTATAATTTTTTAACATTCTGTTTACTTCATACTGTATTTACCTTATATAATGGGTAGTAGTGTAAGCTTGAAGAAGACGGATTGACAATAAGAATGCGAAGTAGACTTGTTTTAAAGTGTGTAGTTTTTCTTGTGGCATTGATAAGATTGGCAAAGGAAACTCTTGTGCAAGATTTTCGTCCGCCAGCTACTCCACTTCTTCTACTTAATCCAACCATTCAAGTCTGGTCTAAGGGAGATCATCTAAATGATGTGCCTACTTCACATTGGATCGAAAATCAAAACATGTCACTTGTTGGTTTGATTCGCATTAATAATGGAAGTAAAATATTAAGATTTATGGGTATAACTGATGAAAGTATTGAACCAATGAAGCAAATTCAACGACATGTACAACCGACACAAACAATTTATACATTTCAAAGTGAAGAAGTCGAATTAAATTTGACATTTATTCAACCAGTATTTATTCATTCTCTTGAGCTATCTTCGTTACCTCTCGGTTATTTGACTCATTCAATTCGTTCACTTTCATTCAGTCAACAACTTACAGTTCAGATTTATATTGAAATTTCAGCCGATTTTGTTGTCAATTCATTAGTTAATGATCAAGTTGTATGGGAAGAGACAAGACCAGGAGAACATCGTTGGCAATCTTATAATCATGCTCCATTTCAAACTCATGGTGATCAAATAAAATCGGATTGGGGTTATTTCTATGTCGCTTCTAGATCTCCATTTCTTCGTGATAGTACACAAACAAATGTTTCACTATGTCGAAAAGCATTCATTCAAGGAGATTTCAATCTTCCTAAACGAGATGAAAGTCAAGGACCACGATCAGTTCAAAATGGATATCCAGTTTCATCTTTTCTCTTTGATTATGGCCAAATTAATCAGAATAATAATATATATTCGTCTTTTCTTGTTTTTTTTCATGATGAACAATTATCTATGAATTTCTTTTCAAATTATCAACGTCCATATTGGACAAAACTTTATTCAAATGCTCAACAATTACTCGATGTTGCCTTTCAAAGTTTTAATGATATTCAAGAAGAAGCTGATGAATATGACAAAATACTTATTGATCGATACACAAATGTAGCAGGTAGGTTATCATTATTTTATTCATAGGATACTCATGCATTTATTCGCTTTAAGTAATTCACTTGCAAAAAAATGTTATATTTAATAGGTGATCAATATGCTACACTTGTCTCACTTGTGCATCGACAAGTAACCGGAGCTTGTGTAACAGTATGGAATGATGAACGACAAGAAGTATGGTCTTATATGAAAGAACAAAGTTCAGATGGTGATGTGAGTACTGTTGATGTTATTTCACCAGCTGCTCCATTTTTTCTTACGCTTGGACCTGAATATTTACGTCGACTTATGCTTCCTTTATTGGCCTACGCAAATAACGAAACTTACGTGCGATATACATTACCTTGGGCACCTCATCATCTTGGTGATTGGCCAGTGTGTTCTATACTTCCACAAGATCAAGAACAAATGCCTATGGAAGAAACGGGCAATATGTTAATTCTTTTGGCAGCTATTGCTCAACGACAAAATCAACAAATAGACTATCTTAGACCATATGCGCCACTGCTTCAAAGTTGGGCACAGTAGCTTAATGATTCATTACCAGATCCAAAAAATCAATTGTGTACTGACGATTTTGTATGTATTCTCTCAAGTTTTTCGGACAAGAAAATCATATTATGAAAACTAAAGGTACATATATATGTATATATATATATATTGATTTTTAGGAAGGTCCTTCAGCACACAATGCTAATCTAGCTTTAAAAGGTATAATCGGTCTTGGAGCGTATTCTATTTTGCTTTCGATGGGTTTGGGCAATCAAAGTCAGGCTGATCTATATATGCAACAAGCTATAAGTTTTTCTTATGATTGGGCAATGTTAGACTGGAATGGACTTGATCATTTTCGTCTTGAATATAATGCTTCCGCTTCATCTTGGTCACAAAAATACAATATGTTTTGGTCATTTGTCATTGGATTAGATGATATTCTTTTTGGAAAATTGTTGATACGAGATATCGAATTAGTCTATTATGAAACAAGAATGAATCGATTTGGTCTACCTTTAGATAATCGAGGTGTTCTTGCTAAACTTGATTCATCAATGTGGATAGCTGCAATGACAAGAGGCAATACCGAACAACGACAACAAATTGTCGATAGTCTTTACACATTTGCACATTCAACACCAACACGATTACCTCTATCCGATGTCTACGATACAACAACGAATCAGGCTGTGTACTTTACAGCTCGACCTGTTCTTGGTGGTCTTTCGGCTCTTGATCTACTTTCAGGTTAATCTACATATTTTAATTAAACACACCAATAATAAGAAAAAAAAACATTCGAAATCAATATAGCTATCAAAACATAAAAGTTGTATAATTTTCACACATAAATTTTGTGATTTCAATTCGTTTGATTTGTTTTTCTAAAATTTAAATCTAGTTGTTCAGAAATTCGTATTCAATATCGATAAGATTCCTACCAATACATGAACACAAACAAGTGTATTCAACAGCAATTTATAAAAGAAAAAAATTGATTGAAGTTTAACTGTAGATAACTATAAATCACTTGAAATAATGTCAAGATCCTGCTTTCAAATATTCTAAATATATAACATCTAATTAGCCTATTCTCCCAATTATTATCACACTCTCGATTTTTCGTTTTGTCTCTGCTTTTCGATAATTATTGAGAGTACTTAAAGCAATATTGTATTCAATGTAAGTAGTAATATTCGATAACTTATGAACACTAACTCTACAAATAAACTTGCGTCTATAAAGTAGTATCTTACAAGGTAGCTGGGCGCTAGTAATGGTCTATCAAAGTTTTTTTCTCATTTATGTATTTAGAATCACGTCACCCAATAGTTTATATACTTTTTTCGTGATTCATTCGTCATCATCAAAATCCAATAGTGTCTTTCTAAAATACATCAAAATAAACTAAAAATCGAAATTCCAATTACTTCTTTTCTAAGTACACATATATATCAATATCTAGCATGTTAGATATTATGAATGCGAATGCTTTCTACATGACATGTTGAAATGAAGATCTTAACACAGTTCAATGACTGTCGCTCACACTGCTTTCTATTTGAATTATCCTCTAATTAGTAAACTTCTACTTGATTAATGAGTTATTCGAACAGCGTTGAACAACAATGGACATACCACGCTTTCGATGCAACAACCATCAAGCAGATCAAACATTTCTCTTTTCGTTTACTCTTGAATGTGATTAAAACAATCGATGCAATTCTGAAATATGAGATATTTCATGATGCATATTAAATATTTTGACAATTCGATATTTTATTGATAACAATTAACAAACTCAAGATTCCAAATGATTAGCATAGATCTATTCTGCTGAAATAAGCTTTTCACAAAACTCTACCTTAAAATTACTCATTCATACAAATCTTAAATATAATAGAACGGATGCATGGAAAAAGACAGAAAGGAAAAATGTCGAATGTGAAAAATAGCTATATGAGGAAGATATAAATTGTTTGAGATTGCCTGAATTCCACGATTGAAAGATTCTTTTTTTTCATGACTCGTTATGTTATCCATTGTCACAAGTGGGGTGCTGAACATGTTTACTGAGCTGAAATAAATCCTTTTTTCGAAACGTTTTTTAAGTATGGGATAGTAATCGAATGCGCACTAGTTAGTTGTCTTTATGTCAGATAATAAGACTACTCTGTCTAATCTGATATCATTTCTATTTGCATAGAAAAAGAAAATCATTGTTGATAATGGAAAACTCTATATTTAAACTTGACATAGCCGCAAATACAATAAAACACTATTGATGTGAAAAACTACTTTGTATTGTCACTTCACATACAGACATAAATGATGTTGTAGTAACAGCTATAGGTAATCATTCATTCACCTAAACAAGAAAACCGTACGATTTGAATGTTAAAACAAATTATAAAAGTACACGCTATCAAAAAAAAAAATAATCTGACATTGAAAATATACGACGAAAAATCGTCAAGATATTGTTTTAAGTCATCAGTTATTACTATCCTTCCATCACAGGGAAATAGGTATTCGAATACTTCTTTTTCTTTGACTGAAGTAACTTTTTTCAACTTCGTTCATAGGATATAGCAAGACATTTTCAAACAGGTATTATCTATGATTTTCGAATTTCCTGTGTACCTGAAACTCGTACAAAATCGTTAAGAATTACCTTATACGTAGGTCATAAAAAGGGTGATATTGGTGCAAATGAACTTTTTACTTCGTTATCTGACGTTGTCGCTAAATAATCTTGCAACAAAAGATAACTGAATTATCATAAATTTATTTTTAATGACATATCTCTAGATGACAGAAAAATTAATTTTTCTGTTACTTTTTCTTACTCAATAAAATATTAATCGGTGCAGTAAATTTTTATAATAAAGATCAATATTTTTCCTTTTCGATGTTTTTCTTTCGACGTTTCACTTTTCGACATTTCTTTCTTCGATATTTTATTTCGACATTTTTCTTTTCTCTCTTTTTCCATCATACCTAATAGAGCAATTATATTGTTTGGTGAACATTTTTCTTGATCACAATGACTTGAAAAATGTTGCACTATTATTTTGTATCATAATACTATTATTCTAGATAGTTCGTCTATTCTGAATTATTTAAATAAGGAATAAGTACTTATTTTGTTGCACATTTTATGAAAAAAGTAAAACGTCAATCATTTATCATATGAGCGAATATAAATAAAAATTGGGCTACATAGTTCTATTGTAGATACAGAATGACAACTTAAGTCTTCCAGTATTCATGATGAGACTGTTCTATTAAGTTATAACACTTTAGAAGAATTCAAGAAAAAACTAACTATTTCAAAAGAAAAGCAAGATATTTATGCTATCGAATCACATATCATTATGAGGGACATTTTCAACAACGGAAACCTTAGAAAATGTTTTTTTTTAAATTACTGAACAAGCTTTTTATTCTCCTATCTTGGAGAATTTTATTTCAATTAGAATTTTTCTATAAACCAATACATAATTAGATTATCTAAAATCTCTAAATCAAATCTACTATAATACGGTGGAGAAATCATTCTAGATTTTAGTTTACGTATAACGTTAGAGATCAATTACAATCTCGGAACATGTCAAAAGAACATAAAAACTGTTTTCTATCATAAAGGCTTTTTTATAATTTGAAAAATATTCTTCAACAGTGCTACCTCTACCGCACCTGTATGGCAGATACCATATTATCTTTTTGTCACTACATTTATTTACTTTGAATCATGAACTTCACTTGGTGATCTAATGATGAAGAGAAAAGAAAATATTCAAACAACACAATGATATATCACATCTGTTGGATAAACATTTGTTCTGATAAAAGGATGCTTCATGTTGTAACAATAAGACATCTGTCTAGATAATATTAAAATATCAAAAATGGTGCATAAGCACATTTTATTTATTGATACGATATGATATATAATAAAATAGTCTTTTTTTAGAGTGTAGTCATCGAACTTCACTTTTTGAGATATC